GTACTGGGACTGAACCAGGGAGTTCTTGACCTACATCCTCACCCCATTTTTTAATTTTATTTTTGAGACAGGGTCTAAATTGATCAGGCTGATCAAACTTGCAATCTTCCTGCCTCTGGAGTAGGTGAAATTACAGGCATGAACCACAGCCCCTGAATGCTTCTGAGGTTTAATTTTTTCTATGTATATTCTTAATTTTTAAGTTTTCATTTCATTTTACCGCTGTGCTGGGAATTGAACCCAGGGCTAGGCAAGTACTCTACCACTGACCTACATTCCTAGCCCATCTGATGTACAGTTTTAACTTATAAGAGATTAGTGTAATTTAAATGCTGTCTGAAGTTTCTGTGTTTTGTTTCATGATTTGTAGATTCAGTAACTTTCCTCAAGTCTGTTACATATTCTTTTTCCTTCCGACTTTGTTTCTTCAGAAATCCTTTGTCTTGTTTATATGTTTTGTTTTCTACTGAAGATATTCCTCAAATATCTGGTGACCCTTAGCTCTGTTCATATTTACAAGTGAGACAACACAAAGCTGACTGGAAGCTCTGAGTACATAAATAGGGTTTGTTAATGAAAGGGCTTTATTGAACATCTAGGGAGCAGAGCACTGTATTTCACGGAAGGATCCCCTGGAATGTCAGTCTTCTCTGAAGGACCATGCAGTCACTTCAGAGACAAATGCCTCAAACTCTTTCTTGAAAATGGTACAGCTGGGTATGAAATTCTCAGAACCAAGTGGGATTAAGAAGACATCATCCAAAAACATATACACTTCCACTTCATCTCTGTTTTCAGGCAAGCAAGTCTTCTACTGGACCTGGTGTCCCCAAGTTCAGAGTCTTCCTAATAAAATACTTCCACAGCACAAGAGATGCCTCACCACTTCTTCCATGGACCTTCAAGTCCCTTTGTTGTCACCCTTATGCTACATTGCCATCTTCTGCAATAATCTGGCTCCCTGAATTTCTTTACCTTTCCAGAGTTTTAAGACATAAATTAGTTGGCAATGGAATTCTCTGAAGGCAGGTGATATTCAGATCTTACAGCTCTGCTAATTCCTTCCATCTTCCAAAGATTGTCCAACTGCAGCTGTCTCCTTTGCTATTCTCTTACTCCTTGTAGGCTTATGCCTTCTTTATTTAATTCACTCATTTTAGATGAGTTTTGGGAGTAAGCAAATGCTTAACTGGGAGTTTTATCCTCATATACTTTAAGACAAACAGTGAAAATACAACATTCATCTGTAGTTATATACTTAATATAAAGAAACAACACTTTTCAAAGTAAACCATTTTTTAATAATGATTTAAAAGGCATATGAATAAAAATGCCCTCCTAAATACAAAAGTTGTTTTGGATAAAAAGATCTTTAAAAAGATGTTTTATAATCAAATATTTTTATCATACAATATTAATAAACACTCATAAAACATTACTCCTGCCAAGAAATATGAAATGCAAAGAACATAAAATAATTGTATCATAGTTATATATTTTAAATATTTAATACTAAATAGAAATATCTACGATTAGCTAGCTGGAAATATTTATGATTATTAATCTGTTACTGTGAATAATCCCAGGAAAAATTGAACATATGAATATCAAATATTATAACAGGAAGCAAATATTGAGGAAATAAATTAATTTCCAAAACTGAAGAAATTAACCTAAAAAAGTAAGTTAATAAAGAGAAATTAAAGGAATCATTTTTTATCAACCAATTTTTTTTAAGGATAAAGAATACAACTCCAATTAGAAAATCCATGCTTCGATCTTTGTTAGTACTTATTTATAATGGTGAAACATATTTCTAAAATATTATAATTTATCAGAGCTTATTTACCCCTAATGTGTAAAGTATTCTTCAAAGACCACAGGTGCAGTTCAGTCAAGCAGAAAGACATCTGATGGCAGAAGGAATCTCTGGTCTGTTTAAAAAATAATCAAAGAGAGAGGCCAATTAATTTATCTTCTATTGTCTGTAAAATCAAGACTCCTGAGAAATAGCAAAAAGAATCAATTAACATTATTGAGGAAATAAAGATACTTTAATATATTTGGCTGTAACCATCTAGAAATAAACTCTAGAAAAAGAAAAATATATTTCTTTTTCCAGGATTTAGAATGTTATCACATTGAGAAATGTAGTCAGGAAAAAATATATAGTATGTTGAAAAAAATATATATACACACTATATATAATATATAGTTTATATATATATAATATATATTATATTATATATAATGTTGTAGTCAGTAGGAATTGGCAAGGGAATACATTAAACACATGAAACATAATTTCTAAGATTATTTTATGATAATTACCCAAAAAGTCAAATGCAAAGGTATGTAAGAGACTGGCTGCCCACTAAGGGGCCCAAAGAATTCAGCTGAGGGCCTAGATCCCAGCAGTCTCCCACACCTAAAGGCTTAGAGTTCAAGGAAATGTCTTCCTTGAGTTCAGCCAGAGGCCTAGAGCCCACGGTAATGTCTCTTGCTTGTCTGTATTGAGGATCTGCACCTGGAAGGCCCAAAGGCCAGAGGTGTAAACCAGAAAACCTATGCCAGTGAGATGAAGGATTTGTGCTACGAGGCGGAGATCCACAATGGATCCAGGAAGTGATGCTCAAGGTGAAGATTAGAGCTCCACTAGTAAAAACAGTAGCCATTCCCAGTGACAGTGAGGTCCTAAGCTCCATCTCTGACGAGAATAGACTAGTTCACATCAGGAAAACCAGCTGCAGCAAGCTTCTCCTAAAAAATCAACAGGCCAAGATCTTCCCCTCCAGTTCTCTTTTTATGGCTACCAGTAACAATCTTCAGGTGGATCCTCCATGAGCAGACCATGCTGATTCAATTCAGCTGAGTGTTACAAGTTGACTGTTAGTCAATCCATTACAAATACATATGGTTTTCAATAGGATATGCTTGACAAAGCTGAGCATATTTAGAATTATTTAGTATTTAAGCATTTCTAAGCTACAATTTCAAGGAAAAGAAAGTTCTGTTGGGTAGTTAATTAAGTACAAGCGCATTCTGGGGTGCATTTATAATATATAAAGTAGAACTTTAAGATCTTTCACATACAAACAGGTTGATTAAAGTGGAATCTGCAAGGTAAATGGTACACAGCTACTACTACATAAAACACACTACACTTAAAAGTAAATTGTAGGACTGGAATTAGTTCAGTGGTGCTATGCCTACCTGGCAAGCACAAGATCCTTAGTTCAATCCCCAGTGCCAAAAAAAGAAAAAAGAAAAAAAGTAAGTTGTATAAAATCATATTAACACTCAGATTACCTTCTTAATCTTCATGTTATAATGGATCCAGTCTAAATGCATCATAAAAAAGTAGTGAAAATGCACATTCTGTATTTTCTATTGATATTTTTATTAAACAGAATCTCATCAATTTGTGAGGCCAGTCTGAGTCAGACAAAAGCTAACAATTTTACAAATAATCATAAGACACTGATGTAACTTTAAAATGTTTGCTTGGAAATTCACTAGTATACTATGCTCTATATTAGAAATAACACAGCAATTATGGACATCATAAAAATCATGAATGTTCTTTCTAGCAAACTTCTAGATAATAAAAGAAATTTGAAAAGTATTTTAAGGTATCTTTTTGTGGTGAAAGAAGCATTCGGCTTCTGTAACATTAGGAAAGACTAAATTTATTTCCCATACCATTCACATGGGTCATAATCAAACATAGCTTTAGACACAGTAAGAACTTCTTTTGCACACCTTCACCTTTGCAGGCCCTCATTGCACTGATAATCATCATGAAACAGGTGTTTTTTCAACCAAGGAGAAACAGTGTGCCAAGAATTGAAACAGCAAAGTGAAATACATGGCAGTTCTGCACAACCAGCAGGGGTTTGAGAAAGTTACAGAGATGTTACAAATGTTAGTGCATCTGCAAAGAAGCACAGAAGTTTACCATTTAGTTGTTGATGGTGATGATGATGAAAACAGCAGCAGTTAACACTTGTTCTAAACATTTTATTGGTATTAACTCATACAATTCTCATAGCTAGCTTTCCAAGTAGCTATCTCTATAATGAAAAAACTGAGGAACAGGGAGAACTACTGAGTAAGTAGTGGACTCAGACATGAAATACACACAAAGTAATTAGAGAGGCTGTGGTGGCAACCCTAGCAATCTTCTGCACTGGGTTATAGACATATGGGGGGAGCACACATAGTAATTCTGAGTAAAAAGGTGGCATGTTCCAAGGATGACAATAGATCCACGTGCCTGGTGGGAAGTGATATAAAAATGAAGCTGAAAAGGGTCAGAAGGAAACAGGCTATAATAATACTAGTGTTTTGGGAGTTTGTCTTAGTAATTATTGTTGGGACAAAATACGCAGTACTTACAACTTGAAAAGGAGGAAAAGTTTATTTTGGCTCTCAGTTTTAGTCCATGGTTGGCTGGCTCCAGAGCAGAAAGGTAATGATAGAAGGTCATGGTGGAGGAAAGATGATCAACCCATGGCAGCCAGGATAAAACCACTGATGAGTATAGCACCTTCATGATCCATTCACCTTCCAGACATTAAAGACTTTGGGAGGACCATAACAGAGTCAGTCTAAATGAGCTGTCCTCCTTTCATTAAAATACCTTAAAAGATAAGTGATAAAACAAAAGACCCCTCAATCTCTTATCCACTGCAACAGATGCAGTTGCCACTGTACACAGATGAATGAATGAATGAATAAGTACTAAAATTGATTGGTGATTTGTGAAAGAAAAATATCCATATATCCATTTTTGGACAAGAGAATGTATTTGAATTAAGACATGCAAAAACGTTAACATTTTATTATGAATAAAGAACAAAAGATATGATGAAACAGATATATACTTCCTCTGATATTAAATATTAAAATTTACCAACTTTTAGACTGAATTAGAAAATAAAAATCACATTCCTCAATTTAGAGTTTTATTAAGATACCAATAATTTATGGCAATATTGACAAAGATAAGGAAGGCTGAAGTTAAGCTGTTTGTTGTTACTTACAAAGATTTTACTGTGTGAATTAAATAGATAAAATTTTATAGTTGAAACTATATGGGTTATACTTTTACTTACATGTCACAAGAACAATGTGTGAAACTATTTTTCTGTTTAAATCAATTCAATAATAATTTATCAAAATGTCATAATAACAGAAATGGAAAATGGAATATAGTTTTCTTTACAATCCACATGGCTATTTTTAAGAGGTAGAAATGCCTTTAATTTGAAAAACTCTTCCCTTTAATACATTTGAAAACCCTAAACTAACTAATGGGGTAAATTCTATTAAAATGTATAATAACAAGAAATGAGCAGGATAGGAGGGGATCAAATCAATATCCTTTTTAGTTTTCAAGGCGTCTTGCTATCTTCATACACTGTGCAGATTTTTAAAATACTTTCAAATGTTTTGTATCTTACTCAAGAATGCCACCAGTTAGAAAGAATGCAGGTAATTTCCTGGTTTAAAAAGTCTGCCTGGAGGAAATAATCAAGACTGAGCTTGTATTATTCAAATATTGTATTCATGCATAAATAGTTATTTTGAAGCAGAGAAGAAAAGGATTTCAAAAGAATGCTGGATTTTACATTTTGGGAAGGAAAGATGGGCAAGGATTTAAACAGTTAAGGGGCGCCCACCAAAGGAACCTGAGAAATACTGCCTCCTTTGGTGGCCTTGTATATTTCTCTGGAGGATAAAACCCAATGCACATGACACAGAACTAGAACAATAGTAGTTGTACAGAGGAAAAGAGAATAAATGAATGTATTCCTTTAAAAATATAGCAAATTGGGCCGGGGATTTAGCTCAGTTATGCTACCACCTGCATTGCAAGCGCAAGGTCCTGAATTCGATAACCAGTGCCCCCCCAAAAAAGTCTGTCTATCTATCTGTATACACACACACACATATATCAAATTGTCTATTGTACAGAAAAAAGAATTATCCAAATGAAAAGAACAGCAAAATGAAAAACTTGAATAAACAAAAATTCACCAATAATTTAACTTTTCATTTATTTGTAAATATCTTTCTTTTACAAGCTTCTGTTTGTTTTAATTATAAAAGGTAGTTGGTGTCAGTTTTAGATGTCTCAGAAGGCCATTCTGAATCCAAATTGTCAGGCTGCAAGAAAAAGCATGATTTAAATTAAACTTGACCTAAACTTAGAATGATTATTCTCTGGTATGGCTGGGAATCTCTAATATCACAAAGTTTGAGGACAGAGAAATGAGAATAATCTAGAAAGCTCCTTTTTACTTTCTACTTTATCTTTCAACATTCAAGTTCTTCTTAGCAATTTGAGCTACATTAGAATTATTACCATCTTCCTTAATAATTATTGTTACCATATAAACTAAATTTTGAGAAAGTAATATGCAAAATAGGAAGTTTCACTAATATAGTGTTGATAATCTTCTTTTGAATAATAAAACCTTTGTTTCAGAAGTAGAGTTCACTTAATAAATTGCAAAATACAAGTGTCTTCTGCCAGGGTACTCCCTGATTTCTGAAGTCAGCTATTTTGACTGCGATGAGGACAGGAAGCTTGAGGGCAAATAAAACCCCAGTGTAAAACATAAAAGCAAAGAAAGAATTAGGTAAGAAAAGACATTGCTGTGGTTATAACAAAGATAAATGATATTACAGGGCCAACAAGACATTTAAAATGTGTATGCATTAGCAAAATAATGCAGAGCCTTGAGGGAATCTTTTTTGGCCATAAAATTAGAACATATATTTGCTATATATTATGAATAAATTTTCTGAGGTCTATCTGTTCACAAATTGAAAATGTACAAAAATAAAGACAACTTAACAGCATGAATTTAGATAAATCACTGGTTAGACGTATTAGATATTATATTATAGTCACCCTTAGATAATT